CTGACCTGCAGCTCGATGAGCACCTTGCTTACCTGCATTCCCTGGCAATGTTTGGCATTTCTGACCACGACCTGATCTACACAAGGGAGATGGCTCATGAGGAGCAGGTGGAGAGCGAGGAAGCTCATCAGTATATCCAGCGGAGGGTACAGAAAGCCCACGAGCTGGTTCAGTTGGAGTCCCAGCTCAGAGATCAGAGGATGGAGGGGATCAGAAATGCTTGTGAAGAGAAGTGGCAAAGACCATCGGGATCAGTTTCCAGGCCAAAGAAGTTGTCTCCAGGGTTGAATGACAAAAATAACTTTGTTTCACCACCAATAACTGATGTACATGAAAAAGACAAAGTTATTGATCTTAGAGAGGATGAAGAGGCCCAGGTGCTTGATGTCAGCTCCAGAATGACAACTCTGACTGTTGCTGACTTGGATAAAGAGCAAGTGGCACAAGGTGTGTCCAGTATGGAGACAGAAGTGCTCAATATCAGCAAGGCAGCAGAACAATCTGACATACAAGAATCTGAGCAAGATCCTGAATCTAGCATTACACCATCATCCCCTGCACTCGAGAAAGAGAGTCAGAGCCTCCAAGAGAAACAGCATTCGGAGGTACATTCAGACAGCTCGGCCAAGGCAAGGAATGACCAGTCTTGGCATTGTCACAATTCCTCCGAGTCTGGCATGGCTGACGACCGTAGAAGTGAGGCAGAATTGTCAGTTCAGCTACTTGACCCACACGCTGCCCTGGGGACAGAGCAGAACAATTTTCCTGAGCCAGCTTCTGCAGTGCTGAGTTTATCAAATGCTATGCCAGAAATCAATGCTGAGCTCCACAAGTCTCACGTGTTGGAAGACAGCTTGGAGGGTACATCTGCTCCTTCTTCCTTCCAGGATCAAGTTGACTTCAATCTGGTTTTGGAAGAGTCTGAAGAGGAATGGCAGGATGCCTCAAATAGAGGAGGATCAGGGGAACACCCTGAGAAGGACAGCTTTCAACTCCAGTCAGAAAGCTTGTGTAAATCTCCAGACAAAGAATCTCCAAACAAAACTTGGCCAAGTGAGACCAGTAGCCATGGCAAACCCTGTCCCACAGCTGAGGAAGAGCCAAATGCCTCCCTGCAAGGGAGTAAATCATTGGAGGAAAGCAGTGGTCTCTTTACTTTTAGTAGGAAGAAACGCTTAAACAGAATTGCTTCAGACAGTGAGAGTGAAGAGCAGCCTGAACAAGTGGCCTCCTCTCCCTTGGACAGCACTCGGCATGGACTTCTGGAAGGAATTAGCGCTTCCACCCCTAAACATGACACAAGAGCTAAAGCCATCTTTTCTCCCCAACTAAATAACAGTGGAAACAGGTCTAATGCTTCCAGGTGCTCGTTCATCAACAGGTTGGTAGATGAGATGGAGGATATTGGGGAAATCATGGGCACCACTGATGAAGAAGATGATGATGATGATGGTGATGAGGAGCAAGATGGGCTTGTGGAAGACAAAGCTGAGGAGTGCACTGGGGAATCTGCTGAGCCTGAAGAAGAACCTAATGGAGAAACACTTGATACAAGTGAAGAGTCCTCCCACACAGACAGCGTGGAATCTGAGCAGTCTGAGGCAGAGGAGATGGAGTCATCTCAGGAGGAATCCACAGGTGACACTGAGCTCCAGTCAGGCGAGCAGGTTGACTACTTCACCCAGGAAAGCAGCTCTGAAAAGGCCATTGGGCAGAGTTCCTCTCCTGCTGCAGATTATGACACTTTGGTACACAGTGGGAAGAAACTTCAGAATGATGGAAAACTCCAGGAAGCTTTGGACTGCTTCCTGCAAGCTCTTGACATAAAAAGTGGAGATCCTGAAGTTATGCTTCTGACTCTCAACTTGTACAGACAGCTGGCCCAGAAGTGACATGTGTATGGCTCTGTGAAGAGAGTCTGGCTGTTCCTTTTTACCCTATGTCTACACCACAGCCCTGGGATCCGTGAGCCAGTTCCAGGCTGGTGCCTGCCATATACTCGTGTGACTTCAGCAGCTCTTGCTTGAGGAAACAGCCCAAACATCCAGGTGTTGGATGCTGGGGAGGGAACTTCACTGTGGAGTCAACTCACAAAGGTGAAAATGGTTCATGTTCCTGTCAGACTATTCAATAAAAGAATGGTATTGTTGATGTCTAAGCCCAACTCTTATCAGTTTCTCTGGGTCTGGATTGAAGGCACTTGAGATGGTAGTTCATGTTCACAATCAGGTGTTTATTATTTCTTAACAGTGAAACAGCCTCACAACCATGAGTTCTGCAGCCTTTCATTAGCAAGGCACAAAAATGGCTAACTGTCTCTTGTTACAAGGTCTTTTAAGACTAAACTATCCAATTAAGAAAGGACACCTAGATTATTTTCCCTTTTAACCCAATCACTAATCCCTCGAAGCCTGCAATGCGGACTTTTGTGCCCAATTACAAAATGCCACCCAAACCCATGAAGAAGGAAGAAGGTAAAGAAGAACAACCTGCCTCCACCCTAAAACCTCCACCTTGCTTCATATTTATTTCTATATTCTAAGACCCCAAACTCTAAGTTTTCCACTCTGTGATATTACACACTTCTAACCAACTACAGCCATAATACCAGTGCTGTTAATCAATTTTGGAAGTCTTCTCCACAGCCTCAGGTCAATTGCCGTGTTCTCTTGTGGGTCTGTGCCTTTAAGCACAGAAAGTTTAAAATTCTCAGCATCTAGGATTCCAACACCTCTCCATGCTGGCAGCCCTGGAATCATCTTTCTACCTTCCAGGTTTTGCTGCTCCTCTCCCCTGAGAAGATGGGGACAGTACAGTCCCATGGCCACTGTACAGCCCAGCTCTGTGGTGCTGCAGTTCCTCCCTCCTTCGGGTTTTAAATAAGCCAATTTGGGTGCCTTACAGACCTTCCAGTTCCAACCTCTGCCACAAGCAAGGACTTCTTCCAGTAGACCAGGTTGCTGGTCCAGGTGACTGGTCTTGAAACACTTCCATGGATGGGGCAGCCACAGGTTCTCTGGGCAACCTGTGCCAGTGTTTTATCACTCTCACAAGAAAGAATTTCTTCCCAATAGCTCTTCTAACCCTGCCCTCTGTCAGCCTGAATCCATTACTCTGTATCTTGTCATCCCAGTTCTGGATAAAGAGTCCCTCTCTGGCTCCCTTGTAGGCCCTTTCACATACTGAAATGTGCTATGAGGTGTCCACACGACCTTCCCCAGGCTGAACAGCCTGAAAAGCCCCAACTCTCTCAGCCTTTCTTCACAGGGGAGATGCCCCAGTCCTCTTATCGACTTCATGGCCTCTTCTGGACTTGCTCCAACAGTTCCATGTCCTTCTTGTGCTGGGGGCCCCAGAACTATGTGCAGGACTCTAGGCAGGATCTTGGGAGTGCAGAGTAGTCCTGCTGCCTGTATTCCTTTGTGTGCAGCCCAGGACATAGGAGGTTTCTGGGCTGGGAATGCTCACTGCTGGCTCATGTTTTTTCATGAGTTTTTTTGTTAACCATCACCCCAAAGCCCTTCTCCCAGGGCTGCTCTCAATCCCTTCTCTGCCCCTTCTGTAGCTGTGCCTGAAAATGTTCTGACCCAGGTGTAGAACCTTGTACTTTTCACGTGTTCCCATCTCTCCAGCCTGTCCAGGTCCCTCTGGATCCGTCCTTCCTTTCCAGTGCGTGACCACACCACACAGCTCAGTGTTGTCAGCAAACTGGCTGAGTGCCTCAATCCCACAAACCAGCAGCTTAAAAGCTCCTGATTCTGGCTTTCAGTGACTCTGCCCCTCACCAACACAACCTGTCTGGTGTGTTGGTCACTGGGCTCATCCTGCCAGTCTCACCTGGTAACAGCACAGCAGCAGATACAGATGTTTCCTTGTGCCATGGCTTTGCCTTCTGCAATACTACACTGTAGCACAGGACACCCACACCTGGCTGAGCTGTGCAGTTTGGGAGAGGAGCTCTTTGTATTTGGAACCAGAGCAAACACGGCAGATTCTGCTGGTGCAGTTGTCTTAATGTGTTTTTGCCAAAAGAAAGAACAGGGCTCTGTTAGCTGGAAACAAATGGTTTATTAACAGAACACCATTACATGGGGCAGTGTCTGCTCTGGGCAGCCTGTCTGCCCTCCACTGCAAGCCATTCCTTGGCTTCTCTGAGAGTTCCATACTCAGCAAAACCAACACCCTGAAAAGGGAGGGAAGACCTTTTCTTCTTTGATGTTTCCTCCTCATCTCTGAGCTCTGTGCATGGTGCTCACCTGTAAACAAAGCTGGTGCCTGTTGCTGGAGCTGTAGCTGGTTCGGGGGCTCTGTGAGCAGGAAGGGGACCATGGCTCTAGGCTGGATTCCTGAGATGGCAGGAATCTTGCTGGGCTGCTTCCCTTGCACACCCCACAGCACAGGGGAGAGCAGGAAGTGGCACACAAGTGTTTAGCGACTTTTTTTCTTATCCAAACCTGTGTTATCCAGTTTCTTCCCCCAGCTCTGAGTGGGCAAGATGGAGCGGTAGGAAGAGATGAGTCTGCGCTCAGGAGAGCTCTTCCTCCCCTCCTACCCCCAGCTCTCTTCCCTGCCTGGCCTGACCCAGCTCCAGTGTTACCCACCCTCCACTGAAGGGACTGTTCTGCAGCTCTGGAGCACAAACTGCACCATGTGAGCTGTCTGCATCCTCCTGGGGAGGATGGAGATGGAGACCAAGCCCTGGGGACCCCTCTGTCCCTTTCTGCATAATTTCTGTTTGCAGATAAAAACCTGGGCACCTCATTCTGCTGACAGACCATTATCTCCACAGATGTGGAGAAGCAAGAGGCTGGCCTGCCAAGCAACAAAGACTTCAACATCTATAAAAGGCTCTTGTTTCACCCTTCCCAGGGACACTTTACCTCTCCAGGCAGGGCCCTGCTCTGCTAGCACAGCTGCCTCCAGGCATGTTGCTGGTTATGCCCAACTTGCTCCAAGGCCAGGGTGTCTGGGAGTCAGGATTCAAGCAGTCAACAAGGTCATCATGGTCATTCACATTTTATTTTCTGCCTTCCACCATGATAATATGGTATCCGAACTTGGTCTTGACGGGAGGGTCTGTGTACACGGGCTTGTCCATGCTGCTCACAGGCAGGGCAAACGCTGCCTCCTGGAATGGTCCCACCATGGAGCCTCTGGTCATCCAGCCCAGGTCACCCTGCAGCAAGGGACCGTCGGGGTTAAGCTCTGAGACTCAGAGCAGGGAGGGTGCGTGATGTGGCCGTGGGACAGGTCCTGCTGGTGACGAGCAGGACCCAGGCTCCTGCAGCCGCTGTCCTGCCCCACTGTCCTATCCCGGACTCACTCACCCCTTGCCTGGCCTTGTCTTCGCTGTACTGTGCTGCCACCTCGCTAAAGCGCTGTCCGGACTTCAGCTTCTCCATGGCCTCCATGGCCCGGCCGTGCTTCTCGCACAGGATGTGCCGAACCTGGAGGGGCGGACAGCGGGGTTGTGGCGAGCGGGGCCGGCGGGCGGGACGAGCCTGCAGGTGCTGGGGCGGAGAGCCCGCACCCTGCCTGGTCCCCGACGCCCCCCGCGCTCACCTTGACGGCGCTGCCGCCTCCCTTCGGGCCCTGTGCTTTGCCCTCGCTGCTGCTGCCGCTGTCGCCGCCTGTGAACCGAGCACTCTGACACCGGCCCGCTCCCCGCCGACCCTGCCGGGCTCTGAGACCAGCTTGGCCCCCACCGCCCCAGAACCCCCGCCCGGCCGGTCCCGGTGCCGCCCCAGAACCCCCGCCCGGCCGGTCCCGGTGCCGCTTAGCCCCGCTCACCCTTCCCGGCTTTGCCGCCGCCTTTCCCTTTGGGCGCCATCTTGCCGCCGTGAGGCCCCCGCGCCGCTCACTCCACGCCGGGCCGGACCGCCCCTGCCCCGCCCCGAGGTCCCCGGCTGCCCGCACGGTGTCGGCGTGGAGCGGCCGGGCGGGGCCGAGCCCGGCGGGGGCCGCGGGATACGGGGTTGTGCCCGCCCGGACGAGGCTGGAGCCACCGGGCACACAGGGCAGCGTTCGGCATCCGCGGCCGTACCCAGAGCCCGCCCAGGGCTGTCCCCAACACTGAGGGCTGTCGCCTTCGTCCATCCCACCGGCCCCAGGATTCCAAGCCCAGTCCCAGTCTACCCCTCCCCACTTCCAGTGCTCCCCGCGTCCTGTAGCCAGGGCCCAGGGCTGTCCCCAGCTCCCCCCCAGCACGAGGGCTGACCCCAGCAGTCCCCCCGGCCTTTTCTGTCCCTCTCATCCATCCCACCTGCCCCCGGGACGCCCAGTCCGTCTGCAGCCCCTCACACCATCCCCGGACCCCGCTCCGGCCTGTCCCCAGTGCCCAGCCTGGGCAGCCCCTGACACCTCACGGTGTCCCTGCGCCCCGCCGCCCCAGAGCCACTGGGGACACAGGAGTGCGTGGCAGACGTTGTGAAAAGTCCCAGCTAATGGGGCCGGTTCCCCTCGAGTCACCCAGGGCTGTCAGGGGGTGCCCACCTCCCCAGCCCCGGTCCCTTGGCAGCCCAAAGAAGCACAGGCACAGGCAGGCAGCAGGGAGCACTTTACCAAGCTGGCGAGATAAGAAGTACAACATTCCATAGTTGGCACCTTGGCGGCCCCCACCCCGGGACAGGGCTGTCCTGCCAGCCGGACTCTTCCCGGGAACCCACTGCCTTCCCAGCGGAACAGCCGCAGTCAGAGGGAGCAGGGAGCGAGCGGCCAGAGACGAGCACTCAGCCAGGAAGAGCCCCAGGAAGAGCACGTTCCTCTGGCCAGGGAAATTAGGATCTCCATCCCATGGCCAATCTCTGTCCCACAGCTGCTCTCTGGCCCATTTGGGTATTTCACCCCAGCAGCATTGGCTACTCCAGCTGCCTACTCCAGTTGCCAGTGATGCTGGGGTTGTTGCAGGGGGGTCCCTGCCCCGTGCTTGCCCCCAGCCCCCTTTGCCGACTCTGTCCCTGGTTTCCTGAGCAGTCATGTGCAAAATGTACCAGTCCCCAGAGCTTCCCAAGCTGTGCCCTGGTCCCATCCTGCACCAGCACCCTGCCATTGGCTGTGGCCACGGGATGGTGGTGAAATGTGGACATTCATTAGAGCTTTTTTGTGATTTTTTTTTTCCTGAGTTTCTCAGCCTGGCTCTTAATTACAGGCTTAAATCTGCAGCCCTGGGAGAGGAAAGAGAGAGATGGGTGAGTACCAGGAGGGAGGAGAGGGGAACCCACTGGATCCTCAGTGGGATCAGATCCAGGATGGTGGCAATGATGGGGAAGTGTTTGCCCAGGCTGTGCTCCCCAGGGATGCAGAGCTCCTGGTGGGGCAGAGACCTCCCAGAGCAGCCCAGGCCCCTCGGAGGGACAGCTGAAGCACTGCTGTGGTGCCTTGCTGCTGCCTGGACCCACTGCACCGCTCCCCCTGCAGCACAGGAGGGTTGGAGTGTGTGGAAATACATCAAGAAATCAAGCAGAAATTTCCCTAAACAACCTGTTTTCTTGTCAGCTGCGGCTGGCCCTTCCTGTTTCTCTGGGTGTGCAGCCGTGCTCCTGCTCGGAGCTCGTGTTTCCTCCCTGCCCCGCCCCGAGCCCCACCACAGCCTCTGTTACTGGCTGCTGGGCCCCCGTGCTGGAGCCAGGCCAGGAAGAGGCAGCTGGGAGCGAGGGGGACAAATCCCACCCAGGGACGTGCAAACCCTCTTCCATGGCCCCGTGCACATGACCTGATGGCACGTGTCCCACTCGGCCTTGCTCAGCTCCCTGGTGGCCAGTGGGCACAGGTGAGTGGTGGGCAACCCTGGGGGGACCCAGGTGTCACCAGGGAGGTGGCTCAGGTGATGTCCATCTGGATTCCAGCCACCACCTTGATAGTATCTCAGGACCTCTGGTTGCCAAGGCAGTAGGAGAAGTTGTCGCAGGGTCTGTCGTGGAGATGCAGGAGGCAGAGCTGGGGACGAGCTTCCTTTGCATGGCACAGCACCCTCATTGCCCCACTTGGCAGCTGGGTGCAGGACCCCCAGCATGGGGGCTGGCAGGGAGTGGGGTGGCTGCCAGACCCCCTGTGCACTGAGGCCAGGGGGACTGGCAGTGGAGGTGACCCCAGGGTTTGTTTTTGGACTGAGAGCTGAGGAGCTCCAAAATGCAGCATTTTGGGGGCTTTCAAGGGGTGGGGATTTGGCTTGAGGTGGTGGCGCTGGCTACGGACGCCAGGTGCCAGTTCCCTGTGTGACAGGGAGGATGCTCAGGGCAATGACAGGGGAACCTCCTGTGAATCTTCAAAAGCAGCCGCAGATCCAGCCGAACCCCTGGCATCTTCCCAAAGTGCATCTGTGTGTCCAGCTGAATTCAACTAGGGGATCTCTGCATGGGAAACTCAAGGTACAATGTCAAAGGGTAGAGAATCAAACATCACCATTGTGCATTAGAAAATCTGTTTAAAGTACCACATGCCAAAGGGACCAAAGAGTCTCAAGCTGCTTTCCTGCGGGCATGGGGCAACTCCAGGAGCTGTGATCTTGTTCTGCTTCCTGGGCAGGTGCCTTCAATCCCAGGAGCTGGCTCAGCCAGGGCCAGTTCCAGCCACTTCCCTCGTGGGAAGGGCCCAGATTTATGACAGCTTGGGGTCCAGCCACTGCCTCTCTGCCAGCAGCTCTCCAAGTAAGGAACAAAAGCCGAAGAACCCCCAAGCAGGATACAGGGGCTCCCCAGTATCCAGGACAGCCCTTTGCAGCAGCGCTCCCTCTGCAGCCATCACCACCCCTCCAGCTGGAGGGGCCCCTGTGTGGTCAGGGCTGGCTTTTGGGGCTGTTTGCACCATCCAGCTCAGGGGCAAACTCTGTGATAACCCTCCGGGCCAGCGGGTTCGTGGTCTTAAGCAGTTCGGCAGCCGATGGCCGAGTACCAGGGCTTGTTTTACTGCTCTTCTTCTGGAGCAGAGCTTTAAAATCCTCATTCCTGCTGGAAGACTTCCCACTGCTGCTCGCTGCTGCCAGAGACTCGCCAGCTGGGGAGCCTGAAGTCTTTACAGGTGAGTGGGAGGTGGGTCGGCTGCTGAAGGTGTCACCAGGCTCTTTCCGCCCCAAGACCTTCCTCTTTGACCTAGGCACCAAAGGGACACAGGTGGGAGCAGTCTGGGGCTGGGGTGAGGTCCCAGAGAGAGCGGCATGGTAGTGCCCAGCCTGCTCTGCTGGGGCAAGGTGACAACATGAGCATGGCAGGTGGTGCTCATGGCAGGTAGGACTAATCTGGACCCTCCTTGCTGGTTGCACTCTGCTCAAGGTAGCAGCAACTGGGCTGTCCCCAAGGATGAACATTGACCCCAGTATGGAAAATGGAGCTGTCATGGTGGAGGGACACTACACCCAGAGCTGTGACAGTGGGCGCAGGGGCTGTCGTCTCCAGTGCATGCACCAGCCTTACCTGTGGATCACCGTGAAGAGATCCTCCGTAGTGCGGGATGTTGTGAACACCTCATCGTCCTCCTCCACGATGGACTCAGCCGTCTTGTCGCTGGCAAAGCTCTTCTCTTCTGTGCCGGCTTCTGCTGAGCTGCCTGTGGGCAGGGAGAAGACAGCAGTGATTCCCCTGTGCTGCATGGGGAACCTTTATCCATGGGGTGATCCCACCACAGGGGTGGAGAGACCCTCACCTTGCTCTGAGTCAGGCTTGCTGGCAGGCGTAGTGCCCACAGCCTTGGGGGATGGTGGATCCTCAGCGTCAGGGTCACAGCAGGTGGGGTCAGTGTCCAGGGTGATGATGGGGCTGGGGGTGGGTGGCAGGTCCCTCACACCAGCTCCCAGCTGTGCTGGGGCTGGGATGAGCGGCAGGTACAGCACGCTGGGCTTTTTGGGCACTGGGGGGGGCACCTTGGCCTTCCTGCGCTCCACCTCAGCACCACTCCGCTCTGGCCGCAGCTCGTCCAGGCTGCCCTGTGAGAGCCGCCGGGGCCCCGTTGGGGTCAGGGACAAGTGGGGCTCCCCCAGACCCCTCCTCAGCTCCCCTCTCCGCAGCACCACGAAGGCATCATGTGCCAGCCCCTTCTCCTTGGCGGTAGTGCCTGGTGGGGATTTGGAGGACAGAGGACCCTCCTCCTGCAGAACTGGGGGCTTAGGCAGGATGCACAGGGGGCGCCTGGCCAGTGGTGGCTTCTCTGCCACGGGTGGCTTCACTTTTCTCTCCGGCCCTGGGCAGGGGACATGTGCTGGCTCCTCTGTGTGCTCTGGGCCATCAGCATTGTCCTCTGGCTCTGAGCGGCTGATGGAGCGGAGGCGGACAGAGCGCAGGTCAGACTGTGTCACCACGGGCATGATGGGTGTGATGGGACTGGTCTTCTGGGCCAGCTTGCTGCCAAAGGTGGAGTCAGAGTGGTGCCGGCTGACCTTAGTCTTCCCCTTCAGGGAGATCTTCAGCCCTGAGAGGTCAAGGTGGGCGGGTGGAGTCAGTGGGAGGTCAAAGGACAGCCTGCCCTTGGGGCTCCTCTCCATGGGGGACGTGGGGGGCAGAGAGGATTTCCTCTCGGGGACCAGTGGCCTCACACGCACCTGGTGTGGGGAGTGCCCGAGGATGGTGGAGGTGGGTACCGTGGGGGTTGGGGTCTCCGACTGACTGGAGTACCCACTGGATGGGGACATCAGCCCTGTGGGCCTGCCTGGTGAGGATGTCTTGAGGTCTGCCTCGGCAGAGAGCTGGGAGGGCGTCGTGGCCCTGGACACTGAAGGGGACATGAGGGACTCAGAGCTGCCCCGTGTCTTGGCACACTCAACAGCTGTGGTCCCTGTGGTTGTGCTTGAGCCAGAGAGGGACTGGTAGGGATCACTGCCAGCCCTCCAGTCTGTGAGATGCCACTGGTGTGGGGCAGCTGTGCTGTTGGGCTCTCTGCCTGCACTCCCCTGGGGGTCGGTGTGCACCAGCCGGTGACCCTGGAGCTCTGGTGGGATGCACAGGCTCTTGGGCCGCTGGTCCTTGGGCAGTGCCGCACTGAGCCCCACATCACCGTCCTGCCCCTCTTTGATCAGCGAGACGCTGCGTGTGGGTGGCGAGGGCTTCTTCTTGGCCTTCTTCAGGGAGATGCTCTTGGAGCGCCGCCGCCGCTGC